CCTATATAGCTGTACATTAATGCACAGACTGTGTCAACAAATACAACCGGTATTTAACTTAAGGTGCACACAAAGATTGGCAGTTCAGGAAATGAAATGTTAATTTTGATATTTTTTTCAGTGGCATAATGGAATTAACCTCCTAAATGTTAAGGCACCACCTAAAGAGCTCCAGAAGTGTGCTCTGCACCTTCTTGACAAGTTGTTCACCAAAAAAGAACTTCGAGGGATCTTGTTCCAATCAAAAAGATCTCTCAAGCCACCTCTAGATGAGGCTAGAGTGTCAAAAATGTTTGGTAAGTTACTTTATACCTGACACAGACAGTTACCGGTATAATTTTTTTTAGTTATTCCCATCAATGATAGGTCATGAACATAATTCAAGAGTTTCCAGAATGGTATAATTAAACAGCATGGAAAAAAATAGACACTAATGCTACTCCTTTAGGTCATCAGCTATAGTTGACAAAAATAATGATATTAAGTCATATTGCAGTCCTGCATAAATTATTTTAGGTTATGGCTACATCAGACCATGATTCATCAAATAGATTCCATTTGGCAAGAGCATGCATGTACTCAGCTGGATTAACACATGGAGACGTTAAAGCATGGTAACAAAGTACATGTATGCTTTGAGTCATGGGAAAGCACTTGTAGCATGATGAAGGATGCAATCGTACCATGTTTTGACATCCGCCACATGTTATCAGTGTACACACACACACTGACAAATGGAATCTGTTGATTTGCTTTGGGCATTGTTTTTTCTAGCATTTTTCCCATCATGACGTCAACTGTGCATCCACTGTTATGTGTAATAAAATTACCTATAATTGAACTAGGTATTGGTATTTTGAGTAAATTAACTGGTCATGTCTTTAATTTGTTTTGGGATATGTTGGTGATGATGATTATGTTTCATTTTTCCTAGATGTTCTCAATGCACAATACACAGCTGAGAAAATACAAAAGTACAGGCAGGCCATAATCGATGCATGCAATCAAAAGTGCAGGGACGTGGCAAGGAAGGAAGCTGGATCAGCATTGAAATGCACCAATGACACTGACAACAGTCGACAATAAAGGGCCTTTAAAATTTGAAGCCCAAATGTTATTTTAAACAAAACATTTCACATTTCTTGTCTTAAATTCTCAGTGAATTTGTCAATTTTAAACTTTACTCAACAAAAAGAGTGCAGAGCAGTTTTGCAGTGCAGCCACTTGGTTAAGGGCATTTGTTAAGGTTTCAAAACTATAAATGCAACATATAACAAGATATTGCCCAAAGGATAGCTTAGCTTTTCATTCTTGGATTTGGCTGATAGTGGAAAAATGCTTATTATGACCAGCCCATTGCATTTTAAGACATTTGAATATTGTATGTTAGTTTTCAGATTTTAATAATGTGATCAGCATTTCAAATCCATTCAAGAGCTGCTTCACAACTGGAACTGATCGAGTTATATTAGAGAGTTTGATCAATAAAGATAACAGTGTATTAAGGAAACTAAGTGAACTTGTGTGTGACATTAACTGCTTTATCTTGCAACTCTCACTTAAACCACCATGAATACAGGATTTGTTTACGCAATTAAGATTGACCATTGATTGTATTCAATTCTGGACGTAAGATGTGATAATCTATTGTACCTCTTGATAGTTAAATATCAATTAAACTTCTGTCACCTCCCCAGCTTGGATGTTGGCTATCATATATATCATGCAAGATCATCCAAATTAAACTTTCCTGTAAGAACGTCCAAGCAGCTGCAACTTTTGTTTCAGGTTCTCCAAGCTAGATCCTGAAAAGATCTTGCCAAGTTGAGACCACTGAAAGATCTTGCTAAGATCTTACCATGTAAGATAGTAAAAAATCTTGCCAAGATCATTGTAAGATCTTGTCAAGATCTTACCATGATCCTGCATGATTTTACAAAATTTTTGATCAGATCATAACCAAGATCTTGACAAGATCATTAAAAGATCTTGTCAAGATCTTAGCAAGATCTTAAAAATATCTTTCCAAGATCATTGAAAGATCTTGTCAAGATCTTAGCAAGATCCTGCAGCTTCTTGCAGGATCTTGTCCAAGATCTTACATGATCTTACCAAAGGTCTTGCCAAGATTTTATCAAAGATCTTGCCATGATTTCAACAAGATCTTGTCAAGATCTTACCAAGGTTTTCAACCTGGGATGCTCAGATAAGACCATACAAATTTTCCGAAACTAGAAGCCAAAAGACTAGAAAATGAAATGTGTGCAATAACAAATCCCTCATTCAATGGTTTTACATGTAATATTTGTGGAAATTTCCACTTTCCATTTTCCACCTTGACAAGTTCTTCTTCAAAAAATTTCTTCAAGTGTACCACTTTTAAATTTTGGAAATTTACCACTGTACACATTTTGGAAATTAAAGAAAGTGGAACTTGTCAAAAATGATTTTCCAAAAGGCACAAATAGTTACACATTACTGTTATTGAACCTTATTTCTTAGCAAATGAAAGTATGTTTTGAGCTGATTGATATTAGCTTGAATATGCCAATATAGTGCATATTTACACTTATTGTTGTTATTGCTCACACTAAATTAGTGCCTCTGTGGTGGTGGACTCTATTTAAGCCTTTCGTCTTAAATATTATCCTCACACTTGTAACTCAAAAGCTGAGAATGTTATGTTCAGTTTATGGTTGTCTATTTTAGAGGGTGTGGATGTGCGTTTTACCCAGGAACCTTCTGATCCAAGCTATTTTAACAATGGTAGCGAAGCTAACCTGGTGTGGGACTACACTGATCCACATAATAGCATTCAGAACATTATCTATAGTGTTCTGGTAGATGATACATTTGTCAAAATGATGGTTAATGGTAGTCATGGTGTCCAAGAAAATCCTAATATTCCTCCATCTTACAAAGGAAGAGTTAGAATTGAAGGAAGAGCTACCCTGGTTATCAAGAACATAAACCCTGGAGACAATACTGAATTTAAATGTGAGATTTGGGGAAGCTTTTCCTACTTGGTAGAAAGTACAGTGCAGCTTATTGTGGCAGGTATGTATTACAGACATAAACATCAATAATCAAACATAAATCAAATGTATTCAACTTGTGTCTCTCATATTTCTGAGATCTGGAAAAATAAACAATAACACAAATATGCACAAACTGCTTTGCTGTAATGTAATTCTACCATTTACTTTACTGTTTCTCATCAGTAAGAAATCAATGAGTTATCAGAGAGTTGTTGCTTTATTCTTCTGGCACCAATTACTGGGTTGCTCTGTTATGCATAGATAACCATTATTAATTTGAGTACAAAGATTTTCTCTTAGCAAAGCTGTCAATTAAAAATGGCCAGTCAAATCTAGAAACAATCCTGCCTTTTAAAAGGACTTGCCAAACGCAATGAAAGTTGGAACTGTGCCATTTGCTGCTTTCTGAGGATTATATGATCTTAGAGGTTTCCAGATGTAAATTTTGCCAACAGAATGGTGACTTCCTCAAGTAATTTCTGATACCAAGGGACAAAAATTGAGACTTGTCATTTGACCATGATCAAAGTCGAAAACATTTGTGAGGTCTCAATACTCATGTACTCATTGTTTGCTTGAACGATTGTACTTGCCTGTGAAGAATCCAAACTCACTGTTTACTATGTTCACTTGCTTGTTTTTAATCATTTATGACTCATGAATAAAAATTGTTTGAGCTCACCCGCCATTACATAATCCTCTTTCTTTCCTTTATTTTAATTATGCATTTGCTATGTTCTGTTGGTTTATTTTAACTGTAATACAACACTGTCACTTTACTTCTCTTCTCGAATTTTATTACAATAGAAAGATACCAGGTTATTATGGCTTAAAAGGGGCAAAAGAATCATCATTTGTGTTTGGTTTTTGTAGCCCAAAGCCAATCCATGTCTCATATTTCACTTGTAGAAAAAATCCAGGGCCAAACATCTTTTTTTAACTAAGACTGGACCTTCCTTTAACTTTAAGTAATGGGCAGGCAGCATTCAGCATGCCACTAGTATATTCTTTTTATTGCGAAGAATCCATAGTTTCTCTTTCATCAAAATTTCTGTTCTCTGGGTTTAGGATGTCTCCTGTTGATCCTTTGTCAGACCAAGTTCCAAGTGGGGTGTGGCTTGATTGGCTCTGTTCCTATTTGTTTGTGCGGCAGCAAACATTTTATCCTCTAGAATGGAAGTAGCTTAGAAGCCAGGGTCCTTAGCCCAAAGAGTATAACTTCCTGAATTAGCCCTTAATTCCCCAGGTTGGGGCTCTGCTTTATAATTTAGCCTGTGAGCAAGTTCTCCAATAGCTAGTGCCAACAGGTTAACTTTTACTGAATGAAGTTTGAGCCTCCTTATGCTAGTTGGTTGTTGGGGGCCAATTGCTGGATGCTTTTGTTTATTTTATTGAAATTTGGTAAATTTTAAGACTCCGTCCAAGTAAGATTTGCTAAGCTATGTGAGGAATGATATAATCTCTTTTACCTTTCAGAGGCACTACTTATAAACATCTCTTTAAGAGGAAAGTATTACATTGAAGGATCCCCTGTCACCATGGCCTGTGGAGCTTCTGGGAGACCACTGCCGGATGTGGCATGGATTAGAAATGGAGTACTGGAAAGTTCAGGGAAGAAAGCTACGTTTTTAAAGTTCGAAAATATAAACAGAACAGATGCAGGAAAATATACATGTCAAGCCAATAACTCAGTGGAAGTCACTTCTATTGACACATCAATTGTAGTTCAGTGTAAGTATATTTTAACCTTAATTTTCTATTTCTGGATTTACTTTATTTACAGTGCGAATAATGTTATTGGGGTGACAGTTACCTGGAACTGAAAAATCTGTTCAAAAATGAAAGGAAACAGAATTCCGCATCAAATCTTTTTCGGCTTCGTATGCATTGGTCCCAATTATTGGTTGGGACAATTGAATTTACGTAGAATTATTGCTCATGTTATGTTACTTAGAAGGATATGACATCTTTTTGCCAAGTCATTGCTTCAGTTGGACTGTGTTTAACTCAGAAAAGGGCTTAAACCATTTCCGAATCATTGTGACAATCCAAAATTCGTTCCGTTTGACTGGCGCACAAATTTAGCGCATATTCTGATTCTGTGTGAGGGCTCTGGTTGGGGCTTAAGGGAAAGCTGAGAATTGGTCACACTTCTGTCAGCTGAGATATTAAACGTTTTTTTTTTTTACTGATAGCTGAGATCAGCTAGCAGGTGCGAAAATCGGCTGAAACTAGAACTGCATACCCAAGATTTGCCCACATATTTGCATGTGTGACATTCAAGATATATTATTTCAAGGCGAGAATCTATTTTATATCTTGTTACTCGTAAGCCTTGCCACCTTATACTAAATACTCGACTGCCAAATGACACAAAAGCGACGGACTGTGCTATGGAGGATTACAAGCTTCACTTTTTTCTCATTTAAAGACAGGGAAAGGAATGACAAACTCTGCACTTGGGTAATTGATTTCTATGACATTCTATTTTTGGAGGTTGTGTAACTTGCAAGCACTATGCCGCCTCCCCCATGAGAGATATCTAATTGTTTCAGCGTTCACATTTGCGCAGGTATTGGACCCCAGTTGTCAGGAGCTGATAAAAAACAAGCCTTAACCGGCATGCTAATCTCTAGATTTTGAAGCCTTCTTGGAGTACACCACATACAAAACATGACCTGTTACAACTTAAAGTTCAATACAAAGCCAGATATGGGATCCACATCTCACCCCTTCAGCATTTACTATTTAATTTTTAGTAGCTCACAACCAATTTGATTCAGTGATCAGGGTCTATTTACAATTTGGACCGCTTTCTGTTCTTATCAGGTAAAGAAAAAACAAAACAAAACAACCAAACAAAAAAAACAAACAAACAAACAAAAACGACGTAAATGCCCAGAAATGGCATTTCGCCCTAGCCAATGAGATTGCAGCATTGGGCCCAGTGAAGAATGTTGAATAATCATCTCGACTTCGTCTTAGGGATCGTTCAACAATATTCACTTTGCCTTCTGCAAACAAATACATAAACACCCGCGTATAAGAACCTAGTGAAAAGTAACCTACAGGCTGAAATTGGGCATTTTAGTAGCCAAATATATAAGAACCTATTTAGGCTGGCAAAGAACGACAGGTTCTTTACAAAAAAACACTCTTATTTTGTAGCCAAAAATACTGGATTTTAATTGATAGAAATTGTGAGAACTTATATTTGATTATTTTCAAATTGGTTCGATTTTAATTCCCTAAATTGGGTTGTTATTTATTTTTGCTGTTTTTATTTATATATTTATATTGCTGTTAACAATTTACATTATTATCAAATACAACTGTAAATATGGTAGCCTATGATACTGAATTTATTATTGTTTAAAAAATAAGGCTTGGCATTTTTGCTGTTTAAAATACAAATGTTCAACCATTATGACATACTAGTACTACAGTAGTTCTCTGAATGGTATCACTTTGACAACTCCTACAAATAAGAACCTACTAAGAACCTAATCAGCCTGAGTTCGGAAAAACTACCCCAAAATATAAGAACCCATCCAGCCTGGACCCAAAAATTCTAGGTTCTTATACGCGGGTGTTTACTGTATTAAATGCAAGTACTGTGCAAAAGCAAGGGGAAATGCGTGAATTT